CTAAACGTTAAAGTTAACTAACGAAGTACACTACAACGACCGCCTCGTAATACTACTCCTCTAACTTACGTTACCGTTACCTACTCCTCCCTCCTACTATATATATATATATATATATATATATACCCATTTCGCTTCTCAAGATGACCCACATGGTCGCCATAACATACAATCCAATAGGGCAGCCCTCCATGGAACAAGGGTAAACGTAACATCAAACATGTGACTGATCAACGTGTCACCCAAACCAATCCAAGCACTTCTAACATGAATGACCATACGTTGTGGCAGAGCAACAATAGGTCAGCAAGTGACCAATTGATTCTGCCTCCTCTTGATGCATGATTCAGAATTGCACATAACACGGATATGCAATCCTCTACTTTTAAAGGCAGGTGATTCACTATCAGATGATGTTCCTACAGGTAAGCCAACCAAAAGCACGAACCTCATCGGTACCAGGATCTTCCAAACCAGTTGGCAAGGAGGCCCACTATCCTTTTCACCCACTAGTAAAAAAAAAAAAGAAGAAAATTATCTCTATCTTTGCACCATAACCACTTATCAACTCCCTTCACTGGCTTATAGTTCTAATCCAAAGCCCTCATGAAGCCCATAAATTCATCCTCTTCTTGTCAGTTGGAGTCCTTCTAAATCATGGACAGTATCCTTCTACCCATTGCCCTTTCGAAGTAATCAACTTCTCAGGCATTAAGGTCCAATGCGACCTGAAGGAGGAAGGGTAACAGTGTTGCTATTCCAATGCCCGTCATATTAAACATTGTCAATGATGACCAATACAAGAAAACCAACTCTCCCACAAATGTCATTCTTTCAAAGAGCTAAATAATGTGCTCATTGCTGTAGTCATCAAAGAAATACATTTGAAGCACTCCTAACTTTGCACTCAAGAAATGAAGCACGTTGAATATTTTTAAATGATTTGAGTCCTTTATTCAGTATACTTATATGCCTATATGCTCTATATGAATTTCCATCCCTTGATGATATGAGTCATAGCATCTTTATGCACACTATGACTTGTGACCTACTCAAGGAATAATCTAAAGCCCTCATGAAATCCAATATATTAGCAAAGAACCAGACATATAGAATGTTAACTGTCCAAGAGATGTCCATATTTTGGACAGAATGTGTTCACTACAAGGATGATGAGATATGCAATACGGGCTCACATGGTTTACAGCCACACCTGCTATAACAGATCAGTAGGTTTGAGGTAACAGGTCCAAGCAATCACTATTCTACACATCACCTGATGTTGTGGCTGAATATCACACGAGCATGTGTTGGATATGCTCATTGTGCTCGTGCTCACTTTTGAATAAATCATGCAGCTAAGTTCGCTATCACCTCTCTTCATAATAACCCTCATTGGATGTACATGATACTCACATTCTCACTTGGGACACTAAAGGTGTAATAGGAAACCCCTTCACTAGAAACGACAGGTGACTTGAGAAAGTTAAAATCACAAATTTGAAATATAAAAATTGCTACATGCTTGACAAGAATTGCAATGTAAAATCCACGTTCGCCTAACAATCTTCTTTCCCTTTTGATGATTACAATTCCACAATCCAAGACACCCTTCTAGGTTTTTGAGACACTCAGGAGGGTGGAAACTCTAAGTACCTATACAAGATAATCATGATTAAGTATAAAATAATTATAGAACTGTCAATGGGCACATAGGACGTGCAAAAATACCTTCTCTGGAGGACTTCGCAATCTCAACCTTTTTTCATAGTTGAAAAAAACCCTCCTCCTATATGCCTCTGTAATTGGAATGGAAGTAGAAATTAATCAATTATTGAACTTATGATGTGTAAAATGACTTAAGGAACTTCTATATTTGTAGCCAAAATATCAACTTAACGACTTCAAAACACAGAGGGAAACAATGGAAAGCAGTAATACTAATATCTATATTGTCAACCAATTCAAGGCTGCCAACATGCAATTAGATTATCAATTCTGGGTAAATTAAGCATGTCTCTTAGAAAAGTACAATGACAATGAAATAACTCACAAGATACTTTCCAACAAAGAATATACAACAAAGAACTCAATAGATTTTGATTTTTGAGTGCCCTTTGTTATCATGGCCTAAAGTATATATAGTGTAGACCTCAGAAGGCATATTCTTGGCAACTATGCCTTTGGCAGTGACATGCCTTTTATGCAGCAAAGAGGTCTGCAGTTCAAAACTCTCTCTTGCAAAGCAAGCTAACCTAACTCCGAAAAAGAAAAGCTATATTATTATTAAGGGGGAACTCTCCCTCTCAGCGATTCATATACCGGACAATACTTATTCAAATTTCACTAACACTTCTGTGACACTCTCATTCCCACTAACCCAATGAAACTGGGATATGGAGAAAGAAGATAAGGTACCCAATGCTATAATTACGTACTAAACAATGTGACGACAAAGAAATATAAAAACCATTACAATATAAGTTAGAGCCTAAGTATAGCTACAATTATCTACTAAATAATGTAACATCCAATAAGTCTGCAAATCATTACAATATCAGTTAGTTCCTTAGAATATACGAAATAACAAAAGAAACTACTGCTGAACTGCAACAAGGAATACTATAGTGTATGCATAACACTTTCATTAGAGAAGAAACAAAGAATCCCAAATTCACTAGAGAGGCACCCTTTTCTACAAGCAACTACTGCTGAACAACAAGAAGAAATAATAAAATGTACGCATACTTTCCCTCATTCCAGATGCACCCCCAAAAAAATATCACAGATATTGACGCAGATCAAATAGTGCTCTAACAGTCAGCAAACTCAGTCATCTTAGGGTCCTTTTTGAGAGACGTGAACTCACAAAGGAAAATAACAGGAACATCAGAAAGGATTCTGGAGTAACTAAATTGAATATTCTAACATAGGAGAGAAAAATGGAAACCCCAAATCATAATGCTAGCTCAACATCATCCCTTTTAGCCATGCATTAGCAGCAAGGATTGAAAAGAAGCCAGACACAAGTAGACCATCTTCAAACTGCCATAGAAAAAGCCATAGGCTCCAAAGATGAATGAGGCCCTGCAACAGATGTTGTCATCACTGTAGGACAGGGCATTAAATGATGAAGCCACACCCCCCATCAAATACACCCAAGGGCCCTTTTGGACGACCCTCAGATTGTGTTACTTTCACAACCTGGTGACCATTGTGAGTATAAGAAACAGCTCTGCATCCATTGGTGAATGACGCATGTTTTGGGGCACTTAATGCATGTCTGCCCCACAAAATGCCAAATTGGGAAAAGGCATGAACGATGATTGATGATTTAACAAAAAAACCAATGTAAGAGAAACACACATTACATTATACAATCAAATAATGACCTTCATTGCACAGGCAGAGGAGTTGTAAAGAAAATTTGTCATAGTCAGTGGACCAAAGCAGAAGAATGGGAAAGAAAACAGAGAAAAACTTTCCATTGTAGAAAACCATAAATGTATCAATATAGACTTTAAAAAAGGATGCTAAGACCTATTGACAAAACTTATCAGCTGTACAAGACACTTCGTGTTCGTAATTAAGTTGATCATTGTGCAGATGGACTGCCATGTGGACTTGCTGCATAACTTCAACCATATTATCTACATAGAACATCGACTATTAAAATTCAACTGATCAACGAGAGGATTAACAACGAACCAGCAACAAGAATCAAATAAGAGCCCTGAAGCAGAATACCAATTGATGAAATCACAAAGAATTTAAAAAGAAAAAGGCAATAATTCAAGTAACAACATTAAACAAATTACTATGCTTTGGAAGTATATTATCAGGGTATTTATTTTGGAAAGGTAGCTCTCTCACTCTCTC